CTCTCCATTTTCATCTGTTTTTTTATTAAATATCCTTCTTTTTGTTTTAGGAATGTTTTTTATAAAATACCCTTACTTTTATTACTTTTGTCCTTCTTACATTTTAAAAACTACTTTCTCTTTCCTACTTTATCATCATTTTACTCTACTTCATATACTATATCATCATTTAACTCTTTTTAATATATCTTTTCTTACTTTATCATTTACTCTACACACTCTATACTTACCCTATCTTCCGTCCCTAAAAACTTTGCCATCTTTGACTTTTCAAGTCAATGGTGGTAAAGTTTAGGCCGTGATTTTGATTAGTTCAATATTATGAAAATAGTAAGTTTTATACTTTTATGAAAGTACTTTTAACAAAGAACGTTTTCACATAATTTTTATATCATAAATAATTTTCTACAAAGATATATAATTGGTCAAAGTTGAACATGGTTGACCAAAAAATTCAAAGATGGCAAAGTTTTGAGAATAAATCAGACCCCTGTTTTGAGAAGGACATCATGAAAACCCGTAAATCCGTCATCATTTCCTTAGCGCATAGAATAGGATAATAGATTATTGTATACATAAATCACCGCTAAACAAAAAACAAATTGAATACAGTAAAATAGAACATTAAACGTTTTGGAATTATGCAATCGATGCATTTATGTTTCAATCACATGAACTCTCATAATTATCCATCACGTAAGCCATAACAATAAAAAAATATGTGTGAAGAAACAAAATTAAATAGAAATATTTTTTGAATTTACTAATATTTATCATTTGCTCAAAGGGAGATGTGTGGAAATGCTTTCAAATAAAAGCCAATTCCTAATTTATTTATTTATGCATCTAATTGTTTGACTGTTTGAAATTATAAATATTCAATTTTTTTTTTGAAATATACTATCTCATTAAAAGCTGTAAAATGTTATTAAATTTCTATTGATGTGAATTTTCAAAATATTAACTTTTTCTAACATTTACTAATACGTAATTAAATATAATTACGATTAAAGTTGCGCGTCGACAAACACGAAAGTCAACTTTGTAACTATTAAAGAACAGAAGAAATATACTCACTCCGTAACAAAAAAATCTTCTCACTTTCCTTTTTCATCCGTAACAAAAAAAATCTTCTCATTTCTAAATCTTCCCATCATACCCTCAATAATTCTAAAAATAATACACTATTACAACTACTTTTTTTGGATTTATCCTACATTCCATCACATTATTCACTTATTTTCCCATCATACCCTCAATATTTCATATCCTCTTTCACTATTCTTAATCTATCTACTTTTGAAATGAGAAGGTTTTTAAGCTAGGGAGGTAGTATAATAGTAAAGCTAAGGGTTTAATTTATGTACGGAGTATTACATTTTAAAAGAATTGTACTTTCGTACATATCACGGTTGCAAATTTGCAATAGGAAAGGATGACACCCCATTTGAAGAACTGAATACTGATCTTTTTCTTTAATTGATGGAGTAATGATTGCACATAGTCTAACCAACTACGGAGTAAGGTATAATACTCGTATGAGATAATGAAGGAACTTTTTTTTTTTTGAATGAAAAGATAATGAAGGAACTAATACGTAGTTTAAAAGATAAATCCAACGTACTGATAATAAGATACTCATTCTAGCCATGAACTCAAGAAATAAAAATTGAAGTTCCTAATTACACCTACAAAATTCTAGAATAGCTTTCAACATTGATTCTCCCCAATCGGTAGTATCCAACCTCTTGGCCTCACCCACAACTTATTTCTTTTGTACAGCTTCACCGATCATCTAGCGGAGAGGTATAATCTTTCACGTTCTTGAATTGCTAGGTCCACAGCCCTTTCATCCCAAACTTTAGCACCTACCGACTCCGGCCTTAAATTAATGGACCGAATCGATCTTCTAACGGCGCCGATTTCTCCGGCGATTGAGAGCTTGAGGGAGAAGATAAGCATGAGCTTTTGTGTTGTGATTATTAGCCGGAGGCTATTTATAGGGGAATTGAGACTTGGGCGTGAGCTGTGTATTGTTGTGCTATCTAATTTAAGGAGTGTTTGGAGTTGTTTAAAAAAGCACTTTTCAGCTTTTGGCTTAAAAAAAGTTGAAAAGAGTGTTTTCAAATGATAGCTTCTACTTAAATTAATCACTTAAAAGCTAAAAGCTGGAAGCAGGTAGAAGGGTGCTTTAAACCGCTTCTCACTTTTTCTTTTACACAAAAAGTACTTATTTTACCAAACACTACCAACTTTTACTTTTTCAGAATCACTTTTTTCTCAAACACTACCAACTTTTACTATTAATCACTTTTCCCAAAATCACTTTAAAAAATCACTTTTTTAAAGTTGAAGCAATTGCAAACACTCCCTTAATACTCCATAATACTGCGCAACACACTATTATTCCGTAGATAATCCATAGGCTAGCAGCACATGTTTTCAAATTTTGAAAAGTCAAGTAGCGTAGTGTAGAAGCTGGCAATAGCAAGTTCCAAGATAATTATTCTCCCAATGTACATCTGATCAATTGCTGCAGCAACCATGACCCGATTGTGATCCATATTTGACCCGTATCTTTTGGAGGGAAAATGACCAGTTTTTTCACCTCCTTTTATATAGAGTAAGATTGAGGAGTGTTGATTGTGACTCGTGTGGAAACTCGGTAAATTTTATTGTCCTGAAAAGTTCAGTCTTAAAAAACCTACAAAATTTCCATTTTTTGGTCTAATTTATCAACACAATATAAATGGGTATGGCTAATTTATAAGACATCATTAGTGCACGACATACAAATGGCACAAATAGAAGCTTGATTGATGTGGTAATATATATAGTTTGTCTATAGATAATCAGTTCTATTAGTGCAGCTGTGCAGTAGACCTTGGGCTTGCACTTCATGAGAGTTGCCTACATATTCTCCCAAAACTAAAATGAAGCAAATTAAGTAAACAAAACTAACAATAAAACGCAATTTTATTTATTTACCATTGAACATTAACCATACTATCATTTTTAGAAATTGTTTTTGCAGTTTTAGAAAATTAATGTGTGATGTTATATTTATTTCAAATTTAGTATTTAATATGTTACGTTGTTATGTTTATTGCTTAACTCCGTTTTAAAAATTAGTTTACACTCTCTTTCCTATTGTAATACAACGTACTACGTTGATCTATAAAATTTTTATTGAGCCTCTTTGGTAACACTGAAATTGGCAATCGGTTGATTATACTGAAATTGATGAAGTTCTGGCTGAAGCGGCTAAATGGGTTGAATTTGTTGAAATATGGAAAAATTATAGTTGCAATATGTTTTATTAATAAAATTAAGAAAAAATAGCTAAAATGGTCAACTAGTGTAACTTTTAGCCAATTCTGTCAGGAAAGTAAACTCATCTTTACTTTTTTTATTATTGCACAGCTCAACGCACGAAATCATATCAAAAGTTGAATGTTTAGTGAAAAAATTGATTGATAAGACTCATAAGTCGAAAACTAGGATCGCCAAACGGGCTTATCATATACTCCGTACTACGTATATACATTTGAGACAATTATGCTACCAAGTATTGGAATAGTTTATGGTGCTATATTGGTAAATTGACCGGTCATGTAAATCAGGCCAAAGAAAATCACCTAAATGTTGTCTAATTTACAATGTTAACGTAAATATTTCTGAAAGAATATTATAAAATGTCAAGACCTACCCAAGATTTATCAGAAAGAATGTATTTCCAGGTTTTCTAAAATCCTCGCCATGCATGTTTTCATAAACTCTTATACGAAGTATTGTCTTACACCGTCACACATCTTGTTTAGTGTTTACCTTTAACCCTCAAATCAAGAAAGGCATCGCTCCATAGAGTTGTCAAGTTTGTTGTAAGAGATCATATATATTCATAATAGAAGTGCAAGTCATTTGAAAGTAATATAAACTCATAATATTTCAAGATAAACCGATCAATATTATATTTCGTAAACATTTACTTGACAAGTTTTGAACTACTTCACGGAAATAAGATTCAGACAATGACTTATTAAATGAGATGAAATATTTGATGACAGGCTGAAGCTATATTTTACATATATCATTCCCAATAGGGGTGGACTCGGGCCGGTTTGGGCCTGGGCCCGGCCGGTTCGTGGTTCAGAAATTATAGGCCCGAGCCCGAACCGCCGGTGGCCGGTTCCAGTTCCGGTTCCGGGCCAAACCGGGCCGGGCCGGGCCGGGCCAACCGGCCCACATGTTTTGTTTTTTGGTTTTTGGTTCTCCTATTTAACCCCCTACCCCTCCTCCTCAACCCCAAATCATCCCAAACCACCTCAAATGGTCCAAAATACCTAATCCAACCTAAAACTTAAAAAAAATTCAAAAAAAAAAAAATTAAAATCCGGCCCGGACCGGGCCCGAACCGGCCGGGCCGGTTCACCAAAAGCTGGGCCCGAGCCCGGACCGCCCAGCACCCGGGCCGGGTCAAACTGAACCGGTGGACCCACCGGGCCACGGGCCGGGCCAAACAGTGACCGGGCCGGGCCGGTCCCGGTCCGGGCCGGTCCCGGGTCGGGCCGACCGGCCCGAGTCCACCCCTAATTCCCAAGGCTTCAGTAACCCTTATGAAAGCTACCTTCAAAGTCTTGAATGGGAGACATAGCAACACCACGAAAAGTTAGCTGGCAAATATTTTTTTAATCAAAATGTTTTTTTTGTTGTTTAGAAAACGACATTAGCGAATTCGTGTCCTAATGGCTAATGTTGATTGTCTCTTTCTGAACTGTAGTTGGACTGATCTGGTCTGGTCTGAAATGACCCAGTTAATGTCTGGTCTCTGTGTATATTTTTTGCAAAGTGTCTGTGTTTTTTATAACTACAGAAGTGTGTATTTTACATCACATCATCTCCTCTTTTAGGTGGTGCAATTTTTGTGTTAAAGAAAAACCAAAGACTACTAAATGATTCCAATGTATTTGCCCAATGTGCTACCTTTGATTAAATTAGGCTGGAAACATATTCTTCATGACTTAAATTAGGCATTCACTTTCGGGCAATGCGCATAATGTTCGCTTGTATATATACACATAAAACTATCATAAAAGGCAATGCTATGAAATGCTATGTACAATTCATACACAAGTCGATTGTATGCAGATTGAGAGGAACCATGGAAGGATTTTTTAGCCAAAACTACTTGGCATAACCGCATAACATGAATAGCTCGGACTAACAATGCTTTTTAATCTAACTTCTTGGATTTCTTCTTTTCATTGTCATCTTTTTGGAGCGGGAACAGCAACCTAAAAGACCATACTGCCAGTAGAGTAGCCTGAATAGGAGCCAGCCAATAAACTTGTATATGCTCTTTGGTTATGTGATCCCCACGAGCATAAGCCCACCCTAACACCTGTAAAAATAACAACATTTTATTAAGCTAAAATATCAACTCATGGACCATTATATGAAGTAGAGAAAATTTCATAAACAAGATGCATTTCTACAAACAGCAAAATCATTGTCTTTTCCTACAAATAAAACACATTGAAAGCCCATTTGGTAGCATTAAAGTTGGAGTAAGTGTTATGTTTTGATCCTATTTGGGTAAATCTCCCTTAATGTTGGTTGATTGTGCTAAAGTTGTGGCAGAAATGTATTAAGTAGCTAATGAAGTTATATGAATATATATATGAAATAATGAAAGCGAAATTCATAAGAAAAAAACGTAAGATTGCCGTTGTCAACAAATTCAGTCAGAAGCTTACTTACTTTTTGCCATTACACAATATAGCACATGAAATATAAAATTGAATGTTTCGTAAAAATCTAATGGATAAACCAAAAAATGGATTACCAAATAAGCACTCAAATTGTAGAAAGTGATTTATTAACTACGGAGTACTTTTATTCTTGCTTTATGGCAGAATGGATCCAATTTATAGTCAGAAAAACGATTAGTCTTATTTGTGTACAGAACACTTGTTTAACTCTTATTTGGCCGTTTGCATCAAATTGTTTAGTTAATATTAAGAATTGGTATTCTATCTCCACAAGATTAATCTGACAGTGAATGAGGATGGCATACTTACAGATGCGGGATTCATGCATCCACCAGTGAGATCAGAGCCAAGCAGATGAAGGGTGACTTTTGAGAGACTGGAGATCCAAGTCTTCATGAAAAAACTTCCAGGGATCTTTCTGGAAAGCCCGAGTGAGATACTCACGATCATGAATGTCAAAAAACCTTCTGTCAGGGCGCCTCCATGGATGCCAACATTCAGCTTCGGTCCACTTCCTATGTCAGGGTATGCGTAAAGGATGAGCTTTACACCAATAATTGACCCAAGTACCTTTAGAATGAAAGCAGAAAATATCATGTGATTCATCAAAAATATTAGAAGTGTTAAGTCATCACACACAGGTATCAAAGTCCATTGAGCTCAAATGAGTGATCTATGTGACTAAGCCTCAACAATGATTTTCAAGATTTGTTTGCTTCAACGAGCCACCTATCTTGTAAACATATTAAGTCGTGTGACTCATTTCACACCAACATATATGAATCAACATATAAGAGATTGCACCCCTCTTCCCATCAGATAATCCTCAGAATGGAACCCAGTATGTTCCAACTAGTAAATGTAAGAATCTGATCTTATTAAGTTGTATTCAAATAATATATTGAGAAGTATAGATTTATAAAATGAACTAGCTAATCAACTTAATTCAATCCTTTTAACGCCCCAACGCAGCCCAGAGTAATGAGAAAGCTGTCCATGTGATGAGAAATAATTTATGCAAGTCAAGTTTTGAATGTGAAGAAATAATGCACACTAAATAATAATTTCCAGGAAATATCATAAACATGCAATTCAGCATTAGACTGGGGAATCTCGATTGAAATTAGGTAAAGGTGAAAAGGTTGACCTGGGTAGGGATTCTGGCGCCAAGGGTGAAGATGAAATTGCTGAAATCGCCGGAGATGGCAGACGCCAAGACCGTGAGGGGATTGTAGGCGCCACCATTGGTGACCTTTCCGAGGAGAGCAAAGAAAAACATGACGGCGACGGCTAGGGCATGCTTGAGGATCTCACCGTCGAGATCGTGGTGGCCGAACACGAAGATCCTGTAGACGAAGATCTTGATGAGGGCGCTAGACCATACCCACATGAATGACATCACAAAATCAGAGACCAGCATCCTCCATCCGCCGCCTCCCCCCATTGTTGCCGGTCGTGGCGCGGCGGTCAACGGCGGAGCTCGCGCTTTGAGAAAATTGGAAAGGCAAACTCAGGTATGCATGCTTTACATACTCCGTATCTCGGAGGCATCCAAGATGACGAGGTTTGATTAAGGCTTTGTCACTTCATTTTGTCAATATCAGGGATTCAGGGGAACGTTTGTTTCAGCGTGCTATTATCCAGGCTCCCGAGTCCCGACTCACCTTGTCAACTCGCTGCTCTTGTTTGTATGGACTTGTTTGTTCCGGTTTAAGAGTTACTCCTTCCGTCCGCTTTCAAATGTCTCATTTTACCATATTGGGATGCCCCTATTTAATTGTCTCATGCCTTATTTGGTAAAGTTTGTGTGGCTCAAAATCATTCTTACTTTATTCTTACATTATCAATTAATATCAACCACACAAACCCACTTTTCTTAAAACACGTGCCACCCTCCTCTGGGACTTTTAAAAGGGGACGGAGGGAGTAGTTTGCAAATTCTTTTTTTTTACCATCAAATAGAAGCTTATATTAATAAATCATTCGTCACTTGGCTGTGAATACAATAAGAAACATAATCACAATCTATTCTATGATCCGAGAGAGTAACCTGGACCCGTGCCAGAGCATGAGCCACAATATTCGCAGATCTTTTACAAAAAGAGATTCCAAAGTTACTCTTTGTTTTCAGAAGACTTCTAATATCATCCACAATCAAATCAACATAAGCTGCACCACTAGTTTTCTTGTTAATGCTCTCAACAACTCTTAAAAATCTGTTTCTACCTCGACTTGTTGCCACCCCCGCTTCCAACGCTCCCAAAATCGCATCTCTAACCCCCATTGCTTCCGTTTCATCCACGGACCAGTCCACTCTTCTATACTCTCCTCTGGATTTAACAAAGTTAACAACATCATCCCTGGCTATCCAACCCCATGCTCGGATCCCTTCCATTTGATTAACAGCTCCATCCACGTTTATTTTTAACATACCTGAATTGGTCTTCTCCACTTGCTCCCTCCTCCCCCTGCCCGCTGCTTCTTCCCGCTGCTTCCAATGGAGTCATGCGCAGCCTTCCATGCGTTTATCATTCTAGATGCCACCTTCAGCACTTCAGCCGCTTCCATCTGCTTTCCCTCCCAAACAATCCCATTACGTCACTTCCAGATACTCCAAATTAGCGCCAGGAAAAGCCCGCCCTGCTCACCATTCTGTGTGGTAATATGGCTTCGGAACCATTCTTCAAAAACGGCCTGATTATCCCCCACGTCAACCCCCGTCTTATGCCAAATTTCCATGACCTTCGGACACCTTTGTAATGCATGAACTGTGTTCTCTTCCCCTGCTCCACATAATTTACATCCCTCCGGGATATTAACCCCCCAGCCTCCCATAGTCTACTCCACGCGTTCCAATCACTCGTTTGCTCCCCTCTCGGAATTCTATAACAACTCTTAACAGAATAAATACCACTTCTTTCTCCCACCCACCAATAACTATCCTTCCTATCAACCAGACTGATAGGAATACTAAGAATGTGATTCCTATCTTCCTGACCGAACCAATTATTTATTCGCTCATGCCTCCAATTTATCCCTATATTATCCCGAAGAGCAGCCACATTCATATCTCTTATCCCCTCTGGTCTATCAGAAATAATTCGCCCATTATCCCCCGGTAACCAGCAGCCTGCCCAATATTGTGTATCAATCCCATTCCCAACTCTTCTCCGGACATTATTTTTTAACACTTCTTGAGTTTCAAAAATACTTTTCCAAATAAAAGATGGATTGTTGCCTAGTTTAGCATGTAGAAAGTCAGAAGAGGGAAAATACCTTGCCTTCAAGACACGATGCATCAGACTACCTTCCTCAGTGATCAACCTCCACCCCTGTTTAGCCAACATTGCTAAATTAAATTCCCGGATCCTCCTGAAACCCAAACCTCCGGCTTCCTTTGGTTTACAAAGAGCCTCCCACCTTCTCCATCTCAGCCCTTTTTGGTCGAATTTTGAGCCTTTCCACCAAAACCCATTCATTAATTTTTCTATTTCATCACATAAGTCCTTTGGCAAAAGAAAAACATTCATAGCATAATTTGGAAGAGATTGAACCACATTACGGAGTAAAACCGCACGCCCTGCACGAGAAGAAAGCGGTTATTCCAGGATTTTATTCTGTTGACAATTCTTTCCTTTAGATATCTCAGAATAACTGATTTATTTTCCCCCGCTAGTGCCGGTAACCCCAAATACATGCTTAGATTGCAAAAGTCTCTAAATTGTTCTCCAACATTCTGGTTAAATGTCAAAGAAGATTTATTAAAATTAACCAGCTGCCCCGAAATAGCCGCATATTTCAGTAAAATGCGCTGAACCTCCTCACACTCGGCACCTAGCTTTAAAAAACAGAAAACTGTCATCAGCAAACAACAAATGTGATACTCGCGGCGCTCCTCTACACACCGCCACCCCATGCAGCTCCCCTCTCTGTTCAGCACGTCTTATAAGTGCACTAAGCCCTTATGCAATTAAGATGAATAAATAAGGAGACAATGGATCACCTTGCCTTAACCCCCTCTTCGGTTCGATCGGCCCCAAGTAATTATTATCAAACTGAACATAATACTTTACAGTGGTAACACACTGCATAATCAAGTTAATCCACCTCCTATTGAATCCCATCCTCTGCATGATTGTCTGTAAAAATTCCCAACTCACTCTATCATAAGCTTTGCTCATATCTAACTTTAAGGCCACATACCCATCTTTCCCCGAATTCTTCCTCTTCAAATAGTGCTGAGTCTCAAAGGCAACTATAATATTATCAATAATAGACCGTCTGGGAATAAAATCACTCTGACATTCGTCCACCGAATCCCCCCAAAAGAGCTTCAACCGATTTGCAAGAATTTTTGAAAAAAATTTGTAGACCACATTACACAAAGCTATCGGTCTCCAGTCCTCCATTCCTTCTAGTTTATCAATCTTCGTTATCAACACAATATTAGTAATATTAATTTCACTTGGGATAATCCCACTTTCAAAAATACCTGAACATATCCGAACAACTTTCGGGCCCACAATGTCCCCGAATTTCTGGAAGAAAGCGGGGTTCATCCCATCTGCTCCTGGTGCCTTATCCGGATGGATATAAAAAATGGCTTCCCGAACCTCCTCTGGATTAACTGGCTGAAGAAGCTTCTTGTTCTGCTCCGATGAGATTTCCTTAAAATTCCCCATATCGGTCCACTGTTGATCTGACCCTGGTTCCTGAAAAATATTAATAAAATATTCCCGAACTGTATCCTCCATCTGACCCCTGTCCGTAATCCATGAACCATCCTCCAATCGAAGTCCCTGAATTTTATTCCTCCTTCTTTGTTTCACAACATTATGAAAAAATCTGGAGTTCATTTCTCCTTCTTTCAGCCAAAATTCCTTAGCTCTTTGCTTCCAATAAAGATTCTCCTTCTCCATGAGCGAATATATGATCGTCTGTAGCCTAGTAAAATCGGCCACACTTCCAGCATCATATTTACCTCGAAGCCAAGAAAGTCTCTTTTTACAAGCAACAATACGGTTACGGAATCCTTCCGGCCTTATATTGTCCCTTCGAAGGAGCTCTCTCCCACAGAAAGTGATCTTTTCATTAACCGTCATATAATCTCCAGCACTTGAACTGTTAGTTATAATCGTTCTACATTCTTCCTCCTTTAACCATATGTTCTCGAATTTAAAACGTCGAGGCTTCCGGCTGTGGAGTGTAGGATTAAAACGAATCAATAGTATGTTCGAGCTTCCATAAATTGGCTCCACCAATCATCATTGACCAAGATCCGATCAAGTTTAACCTCAACCCAGTAGTCTGTTCCTTTTCCTCTCTCCCAGGTCCACTGAAAACCTTCAAATGGAAAATCTCTTAGCCCATTATTAAATACAGCATCTCGGAAACCACGCAGTCTCCAGAGGGGTTGCTGTACTGGCCCTCTTTTCTCAGATTCATACAATATATCATTAAAGTCTCCAATCAAAAGCCATGGTGAAGAGTTGTTCTCTGCCAAGTCCTTCAACATCTTCCATGCCTCCCTTCGTCGACATGTATCCGAGAATGCATAATAACAAGTTAACCTCCACTCCTGCTCCTCGGTTGCAATCCGGACGGAGCAATCAAAGAAATTTTGGCTAGCCGAGTTTACGTTCAACTCCAATTCATCATTCCAGCCAATCGCAATACCGTCGCTTGCTCCAACACTGTCAACTGCCTGTGTATAGGTGAATCCCTGTCGCCGCAGTATATCCATCATCCTACCTCCATCGACTTTCGTCTCCATCAAAAACAGAAGCGATGGCCGATTTCTTTGAACTAAGTCGGTCACCCCCTGAATAGTGGCTAGATTACCCAAACCCCGTCAATTCCAACTCATAATACTCATCTTGCCTTACAATAAATCAGATTCGCACCAAAGTGTCGGACACTCCGCCGCCAAGGACGTCGCCGAAATAAACCTAGGGAATTCCTAGGAGACGACCGCTTTTTTTTTCTGAGGCTAATTGGGAAAAGTATATTCTCAAAGAGTATATTCTGATTTATTGGTACTTTTGTACCGGCCTTTGTACTTTGTGTACTAGAATGGTTGGGCAAATCATACAAGCAACCCTGGTAGCTGCAACCGTTTTGTGTGTCATCAACCCTGATGACAACTGTTGTTAAGTGATGTAGCCATTGTGCCATTCATTACTCCCACGCCGAAATGTTTATTCCATAACGTAAATCTGAGACCTAGAGCTCGACTTATCCTGGGTGTGGAAATGCCTAGCTCAAATATGCACTTTAAGCTCGGGGATTGGGAAGCTCGGCTTAAGTGACTAGTGAGGTTATCTTTGATGTGCTTGAGTATTTGAGCCAGTTTTGACCCTGAGCGTGGCCGCTGTGCCAGATTAGGTCTTGACCTCAGTCATGGCCGACATCAGCCTCGCCTGCAGTTTTGGGCTCATCTCGATGATTTGAAAGTTGGTTTGGTACTGGGCCTTGGCGGGCTTGGTCTCGGCCGAATTTGTCTTAACCGTTTGTGGAGGTTCCTTTGCATAAGTCTTCTACCCTTGAGGTGTATGACAATATTCTCCATCACATAGCATTCTTCCGAAAAAGGACCGGCCCTACGTTTAGTTTTCCCTAACTAGGACTAATCATAAATTTTCTACCCTTAAATTAATTAATTAATGATTAACCTAATTAATTGATCACTAGTTAACTTGCATAACCAATGTCAGTCCATTAGTGACATCAACGTCAAGTCGGCAATAGCGAATTCCGACAGCAGTAGCAGAAGTCGATCAGGGGAAATCAACCCGCCGAGGAATGATGTAAGCATGTGTGGAAATTGCTCAAGGGAAAGTCAACCAAGGTTCTAGCAACATCGTCGACCTACGGGGGTCATCCTCATCGATCTAAAACTAGTAGGTCCTGTTTTTTGAAAAAATGCTATGTATGTTTGGTCTTGTTTGGATAAAAATCCCCATCTTCACACCACTCGCTTATCTTGTCTCCAATATTTGTCTCTGACAACAATTCAATTATATACATATAAGCACATATTTTGATTGATTCATACTAAGATTAATCTTACCTCATATTTACATAATGAACTAACATATACAATACAAATTAGATCTATTATTTTTAGTGAGTTGTAAAAATAAATTTGAATGTGACTAAAATATAGTATACATAAGTCAGAATATAGTTTAAAATTGAATATAAACTATAATGAGAAGTTGTATTCTCAATATATTTGTGACTAATATGAATCAATCTATATTCTGATTCATGTCATGTCTCTAAAAAAATCATTATTTTAATTATAAATATATAATTACTCCATATTTCATAACTTTTTTGAAAATCATTTTATTATTATTTTAATTATAAATGTGTAATTACTCCATATGTAATTAATTTTTTTAATTATTTTATACGGAGTAAATACGTATTAAAAAAGCACTTTCAACTTGGCCAAACATGCGATTAATTTTTTCTCCTTTCTTCATACGCTACCATAAAAACAAAATATAGCAGGAAGCAGAGCATACGCTATACAGCCACCGCTACCATTCTTTATTGCTTCACCGATCAGTGAATTTCATTGAGAATCGCGGGCAGTCAGATCTAAAGAACTAGGCATACGTAATTAACCAAAGCCAGAAACGCATAATCGCCGCAAAGAGGTGATCTTGTACTCTTGGTCTGCAATTTGCAAAACAAATAATCTGCCCCTTCAGTGTTTTTCCTGGTTTTTGTTATATTAAATACATACGGAATGCTTTCTCTTTTTCTTTTGCTGAAATGCTAATGGATATTGACATAATGGCCGCCCATTACTGCTCCTAAATTGCTGCTTCTTTAGTTCTTTTGTTTGAAATATAATTGATGGTGCTTCATTACATCTAATTTATATATGTATAGTTGGACTCTTTTTTTAATATTGATTCATAACTTTGATCATTATTCACTGGAATATCCGTTTATGCTTCTTAGATGTCTATCACATTATTTGGACCTTTCATGTTCCTTGCAATAAAGATCTTCAAAATAAGAGTCAGTGAAGTTTTACTACCTGCACTTGGTTTTGTTATAAAATAAGTAGTACTTCGTAATAAACTACTACCTCCGCCGCCCCATGTAACATTGAGCATGGGGAGTGGCATGCTTATTAAGAATGATTTAGAACCACTCAAACTTTACATATATGGCAAGGAACAATCTTAGTAGGACGGACCGAAAAGGAAAGATGAGACAATCTTAGCGGGACGGAGGGAGTAATATATAAAATAATGTAAAGCATCATCACAGATGTCTACTGTCCTTATATGTTAACCTTCACAGAATCACATGAAACCCAAAGTCTTAAAATGCTGGAGTAACAAATTTTGGAGTAATATACCATGTATAAGATTGTGGATTGCCTTTATCACCAAAATGTTAATGTATTCAGTTTTGATCCAATTTAGAGTCTTAATATTCTTATATAAGAGCGTCAACTGTATTGCGTTTTGGTCCAGTTTAGAGAAGTGTTTGCCGATTTTATGCAGTTTACACCCTGTGAGTTAATCGCCGGTTGACATACCTTTGGCATATTTCTTGCAGAGAATACACATTTGCAGGAATTGCAGGCAGGATTTCTTTTACTCATTCAGAAATCAGAATGGTGATCTTCTAACTTTAGTAGACTTTACTCATTCCCTTTTTTTACAATCAGATTGGCATTTCATTTGTATAGCTGCTGCCTGCATTGTGGCTTTGTGGTACAAGCCTGCAAAAAACATCATTTCACTCATTTACCTCTTGTTTATCATTGGCTTGTTCACATAGGCAACAAATGAAAATCTCCCACCAAATGTGATAAAACAATTAGCAAAGGAATTGAGAAATCTCGATGAAACTCCACCTGAAGGCATTGAAGTGAGTGTAAATGATGACGACCTCTCCACGATATATGCTGATATAGAAGGGCCAGGTACCATTCCTATCTACCCGCCGTTAAAAAGTGTTACTATTATTATCAGTCTTTAGGTAAAAAAATCTTAGTCGTTTTTCACCTGCATTGAAGTTGGAACTCCATACGAGAATGGTGTCTTCCGAATGAAGCTGATATTATCTCATGATTTCCCCCATTCACCTCCTAAAGGTTTGTCCTCTCAAACGCATAATAATTTTATGTTGAAAGTTTTCGATTTGTCTTCACCTTTTTGTATCATGTATTTACTTCCTTTCTTTCTCTCAATTAGGTTTTTTCTTGACCAAAATCTTTCACCCGAATATCTCAACCAATGGTGAAATATGTGTGAATGCACTGAAAAGGGATTGGAGTCCAAGTCTTGGCTTAAGGCATGTGCTAATGGTAAGTCTTATTTACCCAGAGTATTTGTTAAGTCTGTATTTACCATTGCCTAATATGTACGGTGTTTAATCTGGGTATCAACAGGTGGTTAGATGTTTATTGATAGAACCATTTCCAGAGTCGGCTTTAAATGAACAGGCGGGGAAGATGCTCCTAGATCACTATGATGAATATGCTAGACATGCAAGGTCAGGACTCAGGAGCATTTCAATCATTTTACCAGACTTCTTTTTCTAACCAATTTACTTGTTCTGTTATGATGTTGTATAAAGTTTGTAATATCTAGGATTAGAAAAGGGCATTCATTGCCAATGCTGAAGCTCCTATGCAATTTCCTTTGGGAGAGTGTGTATGGGAAAGGATAATCTAGGCCAACTTTCCCTTGTTTTTGCAAGGAGATAACTTGAACCCTGGACTGCCAGGACACAATGGAGAAACCCCATCAATGCCTGGTGTTGGAAATTGTCCCAGTTACAGACCAGGACCAACCGGTTCCTTAATTGCAAACCGTTTGACAAGCCCTAACCCGAAACACCTAACTTGTTACTTCCTGATCTGGCTCTGGTTCTCCTTCTAAATAGAACTGGACTGCGGCTGATTCCAATCTTATTGTCTTAAGTTATAAAATCAGGCAGGACCAGACCGGAACCGGATATAGTGTCAATTTTAGCAAACCCGAAACTGGACCGGTATTGCTAGTTCTGGTTACTGTTCCTATGTTAATGAGGTGGTTCCACCCCTACCAATGTTCCTGGCCCCAATATGTCATTTAAGGATAAATGCAAAAGGAGAAGACAAAAAAAAGGCAAGAGTATACCTAAGTTACTTTAAGGCCTTAAGGTAACTCGTTAGATATTCTTATGTGTTGCAAAAAGAAGAAATGAAAAATGACAAGAATGTACCTAAGTCACCTTAAGGCCTTAAATATTACCTCACCGTAGAGTTATTAAAATGCACTTTGTTCCTTATCTGAGAATTCATATGGGGAAGAATGCCAAAAATTGTAATAGCAAAGAGCAACTATTTGTAATATTCAACGCGAAGTGGAAGAAAGTTCATCAAATCGGCTTTGGTTTCTTTAATGACTTCTGTATTGCTACTACTGATTCTGAATCTCAGGCTTTATACTGGAATTCATGCTTTGAAGCCAAAGCCCAAGGTTAAAGCAGGGACTATTTCGGAGTCAACGATCACTCTGAATGTTATTGATCAACAAACTAACACCTGCTCAATAGACAGTGTTAAGCCGAAGAGTTGTAATCCTCTCCAACACCGGTCACTGATCAATACGAAAGGAGGGACGGGTCATCTAGATCACCCATCCATACCTTTGCATCCTAGCCCCATAGCACTTGTGCAGAAGGAAAGTGGTTTGAGAAGAGTACATGTGCATTCTATAAAAAAGAAAATAGATGCGAGAAAGAAAAGCTTAAGGAGATTGTAATCTGTTCGAACAAATGTAGTGACCTTTGCCCCCTGGGTGTTAAATTCATAGCTTGGGGAAAGAACAATGGAAAAAGGACATCAATATATTGTTGACTTCCTTTTTATGTGAAGTCTCTTTGGCTAAATCATATCTCCTTTTATTCATCATACCCCATAATCGTTCCCAGCTTACTGTTTGTTACTATTATACAGAGTATTAAATAGTACATCACTAAAATAAAAATTAGATCTATTTTTAGAATATGCATGTTTTATTTGCATATATTAACTTTAACACTAGAAAGGTGCATTTCAAATGGTTTCAAGTTCATGAGTATGATATTGTGAAATGCAACTCTCATTCCTATTATAAATGCATTAAAAGGTTACAACAATACTATATTTATCTCTACAACTCGGGCAAACTACACAAAGTGAATTGGGTCGAAAGCAATTAGTGTTGGGGTTTCAACATTCCCCTCAAATTAGAGCATATAAAGCATATGTACCAAACGTGTAACAAATGTATTCTATTCTAAGATCTCTAAGATATTTTGCTAAAACATTTACAACCTGATCTCTCACGCTGACATAATTTGTGATAATTTATTCATTCAAAGTCTTCTCTTAAATGAAGTGATAATCACCTCAACATGTTTTGCTCTCGTGAAGTACAAGGTTAGATGTGCTGTGCATTGGAGCTTGGTCATCTCACATGAGTAGCATTGGTTTCATGCTATCATACCTCAGTTCGCCTCCCCTTCAACACTTGATCTCGTAACAACATGTTGTTTCTTAGCTTACTCTTCCATAAAATCAAGTTTCCACTGATTGAGATACTTCGTACAATATACTCTTGTATACAAATAGAACATTTATCCGTTGGACATTCAGCCCAACCTGTACCATAGAGTAATTCTTGACTTGATGTTATTATTTTCCATGGTTTTCATAGAGTAATTCTTGACTTGATGTTTTCTATATGTATATCAAGACTCGGGTAGTTGAATCCCATTGGCCATCACATGTTTTCTATAAAATGACTAAGCACATTTACAAGGAAAGATATATTCGCTCTCGTAATCGTGACATAGTTTGGTTTTCTAGTGTCTTATGTATCGCTCTTGAGTGAAGGTACTTCAAAAGTCCCGACTTGCGTTGCAAATATGGATAAGTAGGAATGTTTTCTGCCCTTCACCGGCTCACCGCACATCGTCGATCACTCTGTTACTGATTCGACGATACACTGCCGCGTGTGGTCTGCCCGCTGACCGCCTCCGAGACATATTCGATATTCCATTCATTTTCTAATAAGTAAGTTCAATAGCTAACTTTTCATCTAGAGCTTTATAATGGATTGTAAATAGTATTGAGTTGCAAATTGTCCCTTTGTCCCTCAAAATTTAGTCAAGTTTGACCAGCACATGGATTAATAAATCAAAAATTGTGTGTTTGAAATTTGTGCAAAAGAGAAAGAAATGATATGAATCATAAATTAATTGATTAAAAAGAAAAGTGGGAGACAACCAAAAAAGAAAAGGTGACAAAGTTTTAGAGGAGTGAATGAGTATTTTGTTTACCTGAGAACTTTATAATTTTTTACTTGTGAATTTATGAGTCAAATAGAAACTTACTCATTTGAGTCAAAGCTACTTAATCTTGCCGAGTTAAATTCATACGATGTTCAATTGTTGAGCACATGGAGCTTAAAGAGCAACTCAATGTTTTGAGTTTTGATATGAGTGGAAATTCCCGAATGGAGCATTTTCTACTTTATGAAGTATTGCCGAGGATTCTAAGAAAATGATTGAGCTAAAAATTCTTAAGTCAGTGTTGTACCATCATTGCATTAGCTTTAGTATTATCAATTATTACAACGTCCAGTATTCCACAATGAATATTATCGAGACAAACTTCACAATGAAAGAGAAGATTACTTTCCTACATATTGCATAAGGGAAAAGGGGCAAATAAGCCCCCGAACTAATCAAAAAAGTGCAAATAAGCCCTTTTGTAGGAGGTTCCGTCCGGTCATCGTAATTTGGGGAGGTTCACGGTGGAATTTTTTGATGAAACTTTTTGAGCATCTTATTCATTAAGTCTAGTTTAGTCCTACTGAATTTCAGCTAAAAATTCAACCGGAAAGACAGTCAAATGATTTTTTGAAGATAACTGCGCAGTTAAACAACGCAGTATATTTCCGAAAATCATTTGAGTGCCTTCCCGGTTGAATTTTTAGCCGAAATTCGGTATAGCTAAACTAGACTTAATGAAGAAGATGCTCAAAAAAATTCATCAAAAAATTCCACCGAGAACCTCTCCAAATTATGATAATCAGACAGAACCTCCTACAAAAGGGCTTATTTGCACTTTTTTTATTAGTTCGAGGGCTTATTTGCCCCTTTTCCCTATTGCATAATGCATAGAACTTGTTGTGCAACACTTGCATATGAAAACTTGTGATAATTCATTACATTTTTGTTCTTTTTATTATATTTGAGAAAGTGTGCAATAATTTGTAGCCTTTGGTACACCCCTTTGACAAAACTTTGGCTCCAGTGCTCCACCACTGAGTGATATGACAGTTGTCCGAGCGTTACAAAGAACCCCTAAAGTTTAGCATGATAGTTGGTCTGGAAAATACAATTCGAGGAGGCTAATAATTATTGAAGTGCAACAACAATGTTTATACCGATGGTTGGTACTAACAATAATCAATTGGACTTTGAGACATGTATCCATAAACTCATCACGAGCACACCGTGATTACCCGTAAACATGACCAAAACTTAAGGTACAGCACATTTTGGTTCAAGTTTAACTCTTACAAACATTAATGGAAACAAAAGGAATTTGTTTTGGTAGATATGGCATTTTGCATCACAGACTTACTCTCCTAACCAGTCTCGTTTGTATCCTCTTGCTGACTATCACCTTCATCGCCTGCTGCGGTAACTTCCTTTAGTTCTTCCCCGGGGTTCGATGCCTCTGGTTTTGCAGGTCCAGGGCCAGCAGACACCTTCACCATTGAGGGACGCAAGAGTCTCTCTCTAAGTTGGAAACCCTTGCGAAATTCTTCTATGATGACGCCTTCATCGAATTCTATCGAATCTTCACGCATTATAGCTTCATGCAACTGCCAACAAGAGAATGATCATATATACATGAAAAAATGTCTAGCATCAAAATTAGAATTTCTTTTGAGAATTTGAGTACAGCAGAGTGGGTTCATGCTCTTACAAGTTACAAAAACTATTGCAGCCAACACAGCAATGTTATCATACAAATGTGAAACACTAAAAAATGCAAACTTTGTGCTTCGGGTTCAGTGTCATGATATATATTGTCAATAAATTGTCTAAGATTATTCCATACTATAAAATCATGGTTATCATGCAAAAGAACAGTGGCAAATCTGAAGTTTGCTTCAACTGGACTTAGTCTAGATGTAGCATGTTGCTTCAAATAATTCAAGATTTGATTTAACAACAAAAAGTGTTCAAGAAATCAAAGAGCATGGCCATATTTTTATAGCTTTTTGAAAGATCACCAGTCATTTGAAAGATCATTGAGCCAAATCAGAAGTTTGCTTCCATTGAGCCAATCGGTTTCCTAAGCCAACTTTATTTAGTAGAACTGGATCACAGATATATATATATATATATATATATATATATAGAAATTGCATGAAAATTGTAGATTTTCCAGCAAAATGTGATGTCAGTACAACATATTTTATGCTTGATCACTTTGATATATGGTTAACAACAATGCAGTATTTACATGAAAATGACACTTGATAAAGTTTGCAAAAAAGGCAGCTTCATAATTCTCAAGGAGTGTAAACACAACTGTACATCTTTACACACATATAATATGAATATGTTTGTACATAGATGTACTAGTATTGATTCTGGAATAAGGATAAATTGAGAGACTTACCAAAGGATCAAAGGCACTGCCAATGGTCTCCACAGCATTAACACCAAGAGATCCCATTATTTCCATAAACTGTTTAGAGATGCTCTGGTAGCTTTTATTGATTTTCTCTTCTCCCTCAGTTTCAATTTTGAGTTGGGTTTTCGCTCTATCAAAGTTATCCAATACAGGTAAAAGTTTCTCAACGACCTCCCCTTGTGCATTGGTAACCAAAGAAAGTCGTTCCCTCTCAGTTCGCTTCCGGAAATTGTCAAAGTCAGCGCTAATTCTAATAACTCGATCCTTCTCATTTGAGAGCTCTTCAGTTAATATCAGCAGTTTTTTCTCCAGCTGGACTTTTTCATCATCTATAGACTTAAAAAAAGCTTCTAACTCTGCAATTCTGGACTCATCATTATTGGCCAAAGCCTCTCTGTATGACTTCAATGCAATAATAAGAGTTGATGATATGTCCTCAGAAGCTGTAGCCTCAACGTCATTTGGAAGACCATCACTGCTAGGATTATCATCTTGATTGCCCTAATACATTATGTTGTCAATAACAATATAATCAACATACAGGGGTATCAAGCTAAAGAAGGATATTTGCAAAAGAAGAAACACTATAAGGAAAAAACATGCACCAAAAACTACATGTTATGTTGTTATCACATGTGAGCTGCAAATTAGGGCATGTGGGCATTCACTATTTTATGGATTATAACTCAAACAAATTTGTATCAAAAGAATCAATTTAGTTGTCCCAATTTCGTTTTAGGGATGCTCCATATTAGTGATCCCACCTGTTTTGTTTTCTGGAAAAGGGCTCACATAATAAGACTTCTCTAACCACCCTTTTTAATGCTCTTCCACGATAATATTTCACATTAGATAGCTGCATAGGAGAATTTTAATGCTTATAGTGCGATTGGCATGCAAAACTCCAAAAGGAATGGAGTACAAGTTTTCCCAAAAAATACATCAACTATGAGTAGAACACATACATTTCATTTAATACCCATCCTATGAAAACCAGACATCCAAAGTCCAGACTTCCCTCTTAAAATTTTAAAGCAGCTTTGTGGCCCCAAATATGATTTAAAAAAAAACAGTTTTTTCTTTTCCAGTTCAAGAATAATGCTGAAACAATAAATCGATAATAGTGTGTACTTGTACAAATTCAACAAGAACAAAAAAACATTAGTCAATTTGAGCTACACTTAAATTCGTAGCGTCATTGTGAAAGGTAATATACAAACCTCTGCCACAG